GTGGATCAGGCAGTAAAGGCACGAATCAACGCGGCATGGATGAAATGGAGGGAGTCCACATCCTCTGCGATCGAAGGTGCTCCAGAACGCTCAAAGGAAGGTGTACCGGACAGTGGTAAGGCCTGCGATGCTATACGGCAGCGAGTGCTGGCCCCTGAACAAGAATCACGAAAGGCAGCTTCACTCCGCTGAAATGAGGATGCTGAGATGGGCCTGCGGCTGGACGCGACTGGACAGGGTCAGAAACGAGGATGTCAGAGCGGTCATGCAGACTGCCCCTGTCCAGCTGAAGGTGAGGGAACAGCGACTGCGATGGTATGGGCATGTGCTAAGGAGGCCACAGGATCATCCGATAAGAACAGCGATGGACTTCGAAGCGCAAGGCAAGCGACCGCGAGGAGCCCCAAAGAAGAGGTGGAGAGACGTATCAAGAAGGACCTAAGTGAAGTCACGGCCACAGCAGAAGATGCCCTGGACAGAGCAAAGTGGCGACGACTGACAAAGACAGCGGACCCTGCGACTGCGCGGGATGAAATAATGTTTACAGTACCCTTTTCGGAAGGCGGACCGTATCTATTCCTCCATGACAATTCCACTTAATGAGCGTCCTGAGAAATTGAGATTACGGTAACATTACGTTCTGTATCTTTGCAGCAATTGTTATCGCAGTAAAGCCAAATTAGCGAATTGCAGATGAACCGAGTGCTGACCTTCAGGCGATAATATCTCGAAAAATCAGTGGTAAAAAATGCAAACGACATTTTTGGTCAACTTCGCGTTACTGAACTCTCGAAATCGTCGGAATGTCGCTCTTGATTTTAATCGTCGAACCACCATTCCCCATCAAATAAATGACGAAATTCTGAATGCAATTAAAAGGATGGATGGAATTTGGTTTTTGCTTGCAACAAGCAATTTCCAGAGGTAAATGAAAGCAAGGTTTCAAGTGGTGCAAGGAGAGAGTGTCATTGCAGTGAGTAATGGAAATCTCGAGAAAAACCCTGAAACTAATTATCCATCCGATCTATCACAGTCTGTTATTTTGCAAGACATCCAATCATTTACTTTTGCGAACGTCATATTCAAAACTGGTCATTACAGTCACCCCTCCTAATCGCATACAATTTGAGAATATTATTTGCGCAGATAATTTGACATACACGAAGTATTGCGCAGATAGACCCATTCAATATTGACCACAATTCTCAATAGAATATGAACGCATGGCTCATCTCATTAAAGTGATTATAAAATTCAAATAGTTCAGATGCTTCTAATATATAGAATTATCGGTTTTAAAGTTTCTTCGGTAACCTGATGGGCGAAAACGGTGCAGTGCCTAGGGGCGCTACCATCGCACACCGAATTGAGGGATCAAATCCGCACAGGCAAAAGATTCCGTCATAAGCTGACTGGCACTGGACTAGATTGTGATGATGCAACATCAGATTAAACGTGGCTCACGGAAAGAAATTGTGCACGGTGAAGGCGGGTTCAGTAGTTGACTGGAACTCGAATGCACGGCGTATCTGCCTTATAAACACGTCGGCTACTACTATATAATTTTTGTAACAAACACAAGCAGCTGCTATTTCCAAAAATCACGCTTTCGATGTCCTTCGAAGTTTGGCTGTCATGAGTGAAATGATCCAACAAATGTACCTTTGAAGCCTATGGCCTGTAAAAATTTACAAGAACTCTAAGGACTTAAATGACTAGACGCGAACTTGACTTAGTCCAAGAACTTGGCTTTTCAAAACACTCATAATTGGTCATCAGATAACACTCAATGAATCATACTCGTCCCGTCTGACTGAGTAGTTTTTTAGCTGGTTAAAGGCACATTCCGCGATTAGTTTCAGTGGAATGATCTTCCCCGGAAATTAGATGGATTGGTCCGCAACTGCAGAAATCACCACACCATGACACGGCTTCAAACAAGCAAGGGCGCAAGAACGTGACTTTGTTTCACCTTATGCACGCCTAGCGTTGCGGATGCGGTTATATCTGCATCACGCTCGTACCCCAAGGCCGATGTCAGAATCGCTTACGACTCGCTAATGGCGATGCGACCGCTGA